AACAGGACTGGCTCCACAGCTCAGCTAGAGTTTCCAGCTTCTTGCTGGCCGGTCAAGGCCACTCCAGGGCTCTCGCAAAGAAGCGCAAAGCAACATGGCACTGCAGGAAGAACTGGCCCGTGGAGTCTGAGCGACCTGAGCTCTGGTACTAACCCTACCGGTAATCAGCTAAACCACCGTGGAGTATGGCACTTCCTTTCCTGGAGCCTCGGTCTCCTTGTCTGCAAAATGGGGAGGTTACCGCCTGCTTCGCAGCGCCTAGCACACTTCCTGGCGCTTGGCAAGTGGCCACCTCGCCTGCCTCCAGGTCCACTGAGGAACACTGTGACTTTCTGCCCCTGGGATCCTGGAAATGATCCCGACCTTTGCTGCCGTTTCTAATGGGCTGGGGCTCCACAGAAGGCACAAAGCTCACGCCCGCAGCCGCACGTGTGGAAGACCTGGCTGGTGGTCTATGCTCACTCACCATAAACTGCACACGCAAGCTCGGGTGGGTCAGCTCTCTCTCAATCTGCCCGCTGCAGACACCAACCTTATTCTGACCCCGCCTCCTTCATTCGTTAACATCTCCTGCTTCATGAACAAAATCAAGGGGAACGGGCACCTCCCTGACTTCCCTGTCTCCAACTGCAGGCACCTCTATATCCTCCCCCCGATTCTTACCCCCCCCTTCAAACCTCCTCCTCCCCTAAATTACTTCCTCTGGCGGCAGGACGCATGCCTCCCCTAAGCCATTTCTTTGTCCCCCAAACCTAAGCAGGCAGCAAGTCCTACCAGCGACACGTGGCCCTCTCCCCCATCTCTCTGCCATCGGTTTTGTTCAGGTCCCTGTTATCTCCTGCCTAGACAGACTCCCAAGGGTCTCCCTGCCACATAATTATTTCACACCTGGTCTCTCTAAACCCAACCAGGTCTTCTCCCTCCAAATCACCCGTCTGCCTCCTGCCTCCCCGCTTCTGTTCATGGTGACATCAGCCTTGCCCCTGGGTCACCCTGGACTGTTTCCTCATTTGTGAATCTTTCCTGCAGCAGAGAGGTCATTTTCGGTGGGTGGCTGGATACAGTCACTGCTGCGCCCCCCTGCCGGCCCTCCCTCTCCCAAGCACACAGAGTGCTGAATGTGCGCCGGGCATAGAGCAAGGTACTGGGTACATAAGATAAAGGAACAGTCCCCATCCCAGCCCTTAAATTCAGGCCATTACCCGGCATCTCGTACCCCCAAAGCCTCTTGACCAGTCCGTTCATCTTGGAGTCTCCCCCCAGAAACACAAACTTCCAAGATTGCCTCTTGACTGTGTCCAGAAACCCTCTACCACCTGATCCTGGCATACTTTTCTAGATTTATCTCCAAGTTCACCTTCTGGACCCTCCCCCTGCCCAAACCAGTCCATTCAGGCTTCTGGACTTCTTTGTGCTCCTCTTTCACTCATCCGGGACTGCTGGCTGCACCTGAACACTCCTGCCCACGCCTCTGGTCACAACGACCCGTATGGACACCAGCTCTTTCACCAAACACAGAAACCAAAGCACCAGACAATCATCTCTTTCAACACTCAATGCTGTCACGGCCCGCTGCTTCCCCCTCTTGCTACTTCACCTCCTACATCTACAAAGGCCTTTTCTCCCCAACTCAAGTTAGATGTTCCTCGAGGACGCAATTTCTTCCCCTTCTCCCTGTTCCCACGATGGCGAGTAAGCAGTTGCAATTTATGTTTTTAATCTACAGAAGTATGACCACTGACTTGGCCAAGGCACGCGGAGGCCCTGGGTCAAGTGGGGATGGACAGTGATCATAAAAGTGAGTCCCCCCAACACACATGGACACGGACAGCGCCTTCTGTCCCCTTCCTGCTCCGCAGCATGTCCACGTATGTGCATTCTATTTCTGGGGCGCTTTCCTGCCTATGTTCACATTCCCAACCACCCTCTCGCCTTCGCCGTTTCTTACTGACCACCATCCCTCTACTGATCACTCAGGCAGGGACCCAGAATCACCCGCTGCTGTCCTCTCTTGCTCACTCACGTCCCACATCTAAATCCCCATGGAGTCCCGTGTCTCTTACACGCCCAGCCACGTCTCAACCCCATCCCCCCTCTTTCCCCACCCCTACAGCTCCGGGTCACATTCACAGCTTTTCCTACATAGAGGGAAGTGATCACCTCCTGACTGGTGTGCTGGCCGTCAGCATTATCCCCCTCCAACTCTTCCCGGTGTGCGCAGATGTGCCTTCTTTACTTTGTGGACTAAAATCCCCCCCTGGCCGGCCTACAGGACAGCACCCAGCCCCTCTGCACCGCAGCCGCACGACTCCTCTTGCCCTACTTACTTCACTTTTGCTTACCCCCGAAGTACTAGACTCCACGTGGTCCCTGAACAAACCAAGAGGTTCCCACTCCCATGCCCTTGCAGATGCTGTTCCTGCATCCTGCAAAGCTGTTCCCTGTGCTCTGTACCTGACTAACCTCTCCCCCTGCCACACTTCACCTCCTCCAGGAAGCATTCTGTGATCTCCTTTGCCCACCAAGCCTAGGGTAACAGCCTCCTTTTCTGTGCTTCCACACCGATCAGCATATGCCCCTCACCGCACTTACCATCTGCCCACACATCGTAATAGCCACTGCCTCCCAGAGCCTAGCAGGGGAGCGCCGGTTAAAGAAGGAAAGCAAGACTCACTTCCCTTCTGCAGGCGACTCTCCTCCGGTCTTCCCCTGACTTACAGGCTCCAGTCAGCCACGCTGCCTCACTACTGCCACCTAGGGGCAACAGGCAGCAACTGCACTTCCCCACCATTCAGCATCTGACTCCATTGAATGGGATGGGGACACAGGCGAGGGCACCCAGTGGATTCTGGGGTGGAGAGGAGGAGAGTAGTGATCAGAGGAAACTTCAGATGCTGAGTGAGCTCTGAGCTGGGCCACACGGCGTGCGGAGGAGAACAGGACGTGGCAGGCAGTGGGGGTGACAGGCAGACAGGGTCAGAGTTTCCGGTCTAGGTGCAGGTGAAATGCAAAAGGAACGGAGGGTTAGAATGTGCAAGACCTGGGACCCAAACTTTAGCTTTAAAGCCACCTAAAGAGGCTAAAAAAATTAAAATTTCTTCCACCCAGAAACTTTTAAACAGGAGTGACACGATCAGGCCTGCATTAAAAAAGACCACTTCTGCTGGAGCATGAAAGCACGGAAATGGGAAGCGGAGAAAGAGAAAAGCAACAAAACAAGCAGTGAAACGACAGTATTTTCACAATTGTCTCAATTTCCACTTACTTAGTCGTGACCTCACACTCACCAAACACACACAGACTGAAACTCCGCCTCCTCAAATCCAGTGCTTCGGCATAAACATTATTTATCTCCACATTTTGAGGTGTTCACAGATCTCAGCCTCTTTGTGGTCCCTGAAGTCACAATTTTGTAACAGATCCCAAAACAACGCTTTACACACAGAAGATGCTCAGCGACAACTGAATGGGATTCCTCTCAGGATCCCCTGGCCCCTTGTGATCATAAAAGCAATAAAATCCCATGGTTAGGGGTAAGGACTTTGAGTCAGAAGACCTGGGTTCAAATGCTGCCTCAGCCACCTTATTGTGCAAGCCTGGTCATAACAAGCGACCCACCTAAGCCTCAGTTTGTCTGTCCTGTAAAGTACAGCAGCATCTATCTCAAGGGCTGGGGATGAAGCTCCGTGAAGTGGCAAGCACAGAGCAAACCCTCACTGAACACTGGTGATCATTTATAACTTTACGTATTCAGTGCTTCCCACACTCAGGCCATTGCCAGGAGCTTCCCACACTCTTAAATCCGCACAGCGATGTTTCCATCCCATTTTACAGATGAGAAAACTAAGGCTCCCACAGCTGAATTCGTACAAGGTCTTGGGAGCCTCGGATACCAAGGCATCAGAGATGTGACTGGAGGAACTTTTAGTAAAAGATCATTTAGCCCAGCAGTGGTTCGACTGTGTGTGATACTTTTGGCAATGTCTGAAGGCATTTTTTATCTTCAGGACGGGGGATGGGGGCGGGGGAGAGGCGGCTGGCATCTAACGGTAGTCAATAAATACTACCGTGTGCATCCTAGATGCACAGGACAGCCCCCCCCCCCCCCCCCCGCCAAACCAAGAGTGATCAGACCCGAAATGGTAGTGACCAGGTTGAGAAACCCTTTTCTGGCCAGATCATCTTTCTCATTTTCCCACTTCTGGAGCAATGGCCATACGGATCCTATGTGAATACTTCTGGTATAAGGGGGGGAGGGGGGTTCTGTCCCTCCAGGGGCAGCGCAAGCAAAAGTTCTTCCCCGCCTTCCCTGCACACAGTAGGTATCAAACCCATTTCAAGAAGCCTAGCATCAGAGACCGGAAAAGGAAGAGCATCCCTCCCCCATTGTTCAATTGCGTGCAGGTTGTGTTTTCAACACACACACACACATTTTACAAATCCCAACGTCCCACGCCCCAAAAACAGCTTTGTTAGAGATGGCGTTCAAAAAATAGATGTTCTCCTAGGGCTCCCATACATACCGAAGGGTATACACACTTCTAAAAGGACCTCGGCTCGGCCGCGGTCCTCTGACTACGACCACAAAAGAATCTGTAGGATTTCCCCGGGGAGCGAGCCCGCGGGCCGTGACCTCTGCGCGCTGGAGGCGCTCACCCTACTCCCTCGCCTCGGGCTTCGCTCTCCCGCCCCCGGCTCCTCAGCTCCCAGGACTACCAGGGCCCCGGCCGCGGAGCCCGGCCGCCAGGCGCGTGCCCACGCCGTGTCCCCCTCGCCCGCCCCTCGCGGCGGCTGAGGAATCCGGCCCGGGGCCTGTCGCCGGCGCCCACACCGGCCGGCCCCCGCCCGCCCGCCCGCCGCGGCCCGCGCGCGTCCTCTCCCGGCCCGGTGCGGCCTGGGCCTCGGCCGGTGCAGGCCCGCGGGCGCCCGCGGCCGGGCCAGGCGAGCTCAGGCCTGCCGCGGCCTACCCCGTAGGGTGCCGCCGAAGGCCCCCGCCTCACCTGGACTCGGGCGGGCTGGCCCGGGGCTGCTCCGGGGCGGGCGGGCGGCGGCGGCGCGGCGCTAACGGCTCCGCTCGGCCTCGGTAGCGGCGGCGGCGGCAGCGGCGACGGCGACGGCGGCGGCGGCTCCTCCTCAGCGCGCACGACCCGCTCCGGCCCGCGGCCCGGACACGCCCCCCCGGCGCGCGCGCCCATTGGCCGGCGTCCGCCACGGTGCGCTTCTCATTGGCCGACGTGCCTGTCTCGGCGCCCAGGGGCGCGCGGCGGGGGCGGGACTTCCGGCTGGCGCCGCCTGCGAAGGGCTCGGCGGCCGGCGGAGACGCGGGTGGCGGGCGATGGCCGCGGAGGGGGCCTGCTGGGGCCCAGCCCACGGAGGCTGGCGGAAGGCGGTGGCCCAAGAGCCGCGCCCCTCGCCGAGCACATGCTGTGTGACCCGCGTCTGTCTTTCCCGCCGCAGCCCCGCCAGGTAGGAATGGTCAGCGCGCCATGGCTGTGGGGACAGGACCCGGGTTCGAATCCCGACCCCGACGTTTCCGCACTACGTGCCGTTGGTAAGGGACTGACGTCACTTCTTCAGGCCTCAGTTTCCTTATCTGGTATGGCGAGGAGGTGGGGCATGGGACGTGGTTAGCCTTCCATCAGCGTTGACTACCAGAGTTAACGGGTTCCCAGAGGCTCAGTTCTGCAGTTGGTCTTTAGAGTTTTATTGAGTGTCTACTATACGCCAGTCACTTGTATCGGCAGCGAACAGGCAAAAATTTAGCCACAAATGTTAGCCAGGTGCGTGATTTAAATTTTCTAGTAGCTGTGTTAAAGAAAAATTAAAAACAGCTACTTTTAACGATGTCTTTTATTTCAGGGTGTGCAAGATGTTCCTTCTACATGTAATCAATATAAAAACTTAGGAGATCTTTTATCTTTTACGTTTTTTTCCCCCCACAACTCTCTGAAATCTTCTATGTTTTACAGGTACGGCCCATCTCAAGTTGGACTGGCTACGTTTCAAGAGTTCAGCAACCTGGTGGCTCCTGCCTTGGGCCCTGCAGTGCCAGATGGGGAGACAGAAAAGGAATCAAGTGGATTCCGAAGCAAGTGGTGGAAAGGGGTAAGAAGAAACGTACACTGGATAAAGAGGGTGGGGGATGTGGCGGTTTCACTTTGAAAGAGGGAGGTGGGGAAGGCTGAGAAGATGGCATGAGCCGAGGGATCCTAGGAATTGAGCAAGTAATGATTTGTTTACCTGTCGTTTGTCTGGTAGAACTTCCTGCCGTGATGGGCATGTACTTGATCACCACGGGCTAATGTAGTAGCCCCCAGCTCCACATGACTTTTGGGCACTTAACATGTGGCTGATGCCACTGAAGTTTTGAATTTTCAACATACTTCATTTTTCCTTAATTTAAATCTAGTCCTGTAATAAACAAACTCCTGACACAGAGCTTGTCATGGATGGCATAGATTTGATTGAAGGGTAGCATGGGCTCTGAATGTAGTGCTGAATCTTCATGCGCGTTCTCCTGTGTGACCCTCACAAAAGCTCTGTGAGATGGGAGTTTTTATCACCGTCGCCATGGTGAAGATGGAAATTGCAGTTTGCAATTTACGGAAATATTTGTAAGTACAGAATTACCATTTTCCCCACACCAGTTTTGCCCATGAGTAACATCTTTCTTCATTCAACGTTTTTTATCATTGAGAGATGGAGCATGAGCAGGGGAGGGGCAGAGAGAGAGGGAGACACAGAATCCGAAGCAGGCTCCAGGCTCCGAGCTGTCAGCACAGAACCCGACGCGGGGCTCGAACCCACGAACCGTGAGATCATGACCTGAGCCAAAGTTGGATGCTTAGCCGGCTGAGCCACTCACTCAGGCGCCCCTCTTATTAGTGACATCTTTCATTAGCACGATGCATTTGTTATGATGAATGAACTCATACTGATACATGTCAACCGAACCTCATAGTTTATTAGATTCCCTGTTTTTTTACTTAATATCCTCCTTTCTGCCCAGAATCCCATGCAGGATAGTGCAGGATACCACATTACTTTTAGTCGTCCTGGTCCTCTCTCTCTCTCTGTCTCTCTGTGTCTTTTTTTTTTTTTTTTTTTGGAGATATAATTGGTATGTGACACTTCAGTTGTAGATGGGCAACATAATGATTTGACGTATGTGTATATCACAAGATAATTACTACAGTTAGTCAACAGCCGTCGTCACCCCTAATTACAAATATTTTGTTGCTGTTGTGGTGAGAACTACGATCCTACTTGCTTAGCTGTCCTGTTTCTTTAGACTCCTCTTGGCTGTGGCAGATTCTCACGTTCTCCTCGTTTTTGATAATTTTGAGAAGGACTGATCAGGTATCGTAGAATGCTCCCCAGTTGGAAGGTACCCGGTGTTTTCCTCGTGGTAAGAACGGGACGGGCTTTGCGGGGAGGAAGACCACAGATGGAAGGTGTCGACTCTCATCACATCCCATCAAAGGTATGTACTCCCAGAATGACCCGTGCCTGTTGCCGTGGCCTTGATCGTGGGCCGAGGTAGCATTTGTCAGGCTTCTCCACTATGAAGTTACCCTCCTCTCCTTTTCTGTGCTGTGTACTTTGTTGTTATTTTTTGTTATTTTGTTTTTTAATCTTGATTTATTTTTGAGAGTGAGACAGAGAGAGACAGAGTGTGAGTAGGATAGAGGCAGACCCAGAACCTGAAGCAGGCTCCAGGCTCCGAGCTGTCAGCACAGGCCCTGACGCGGGGCTCAAACCCACAAATCGTGAGATCATGACCTGAGCCGAAGTCGGACGCTTAACCGACTGAGCCACCCAGGGGCCCCTGTGCTGTGTGCTTTGGAAGAAAGTCACTTTGTGCAGCACACACCTGAGGAGCGAAAGAGTACATTCCCTTCCTTGAGTGAGGTATCTGTGTGCACTGTGTGGAGTTCTTCTGCATGGGAGATTTCTCTTCTCTCCCTGATGTATCAGCGTATTCGTTATGTAACTATAGCAGCATGGCCTCTGGATATTTATTCTGTGCTCTGGGCTATAACCCAATACTAGTTTATTTTGGTCAAATTATTCTAGCTTCTGCCGTTGAGTGTGCTTTCAGTCGGTTCCTGTGGCTGCTTGACGCGCTCCCGTCTATGTATGTGGTTTGGGGTTTTTTGGTTTTCTTGGGGGCCCTTCCTTACTCTCCGGTACTGCAGGCCGCTCCAGGCTTATCTCATGCGTCCCCTGCCCCAGTCCTGGAATCAGTCAGTTCTCCCAGCCTGGTTCCTTTCTGTAGAGAGTGATGTTAGAAACCAAGATCTGGGCACTTGGAATGCATGTTGCTCCTGGGGTGTCGTTTCTTTTAGGTCGTCAATAGTTTTTTGTTTGTTTGTTTTTAAGTTTATTTATTTGAAAGGGAGAGAACACGTGAGCAGGGGAGGGGCACAGAGAGAGAGAGAGACAGAGAGACAGAGAGAGAGAATCCCAAGCAGGCTCCACACTGTCAGCAGAGATCATGACCTCACCCAAAATCAAGAGTCAGACATCAATCGGCTGAGCCACCGAGGTGCCCCCTAGGTCATCAATGCTTTTTAACCACCCACAGTGTGCCTGGTGCCAGTACTCAGCCCTGGGGATACAACAGTGACCATGCTAGAAGGGGCATCTGCCCTCACGCAAGTCCCCATCAAGCTGTGGGGACAGGCTTAAGAGGGTAACTCCAACATCGACTGGGTGTGCCACCTTGCAAAAGTTCTTTAATCTCTCTGAGCTTCCGCCTCCCTATCTGTGAAATGGGGGTGTTATAATACTTTGTGAAGGCACTGGGAGAATTAGCTGAAATCACCCACTTTTGGAACCTTGAGAACAGAGTGCGGCTTGAAGTACTTCTTCAGTCCTATTGTTGTGAACAGTAATCAGAAATCGCACGATTACCATCGTTATAAAATCACAAAATAATTACAACCTGCAGGGGTTCAGAGCACCAGCCAGGCATGCAGCGGGAGAACCTGACCTCATTTTGGAGTGACCAGGGGAGATTTTCCAAGTCATTGGGATTACAGCTGAGGTAGGAGGCAGAGGTCACCAGGCAGACAGGGACAGAATGTTTCAGGCAGCAAGAACAGCAAGTGCAAAGGCCCTGAGGCAGGCATGAGGCTGGCACACTTGGGAACTGAGAAAAGGTCAGGGGTGGAGACGGGGTCACGAGAGGAGACTCATGGGACTGGAAGGGGCAAGTCACCCAGGGCCTGGTGAGCCGTGGCAGACCGAGACTCGGTCTGAAGAGCGAAGCAGGTGACTTGTCCAAAGGCACATGTTTCGTAGGGGACAGTCAGGATTGGAACCCTGGTCAGCTTGGTCTCAGAGGTCTTTGTTTTCTTGGTCTGAATTTAAGATAGGAACTTCTCGCTTTGGAGTTCTGTTTGTTTGTTTTCTTTGGGGTTTGGTAAGAAGCATCAGTTGGTTTTTAAGGGTAGGAATCTGAGTACACTCTAGCTGCCGAAGTTCTAGATTGTTCTTGCCGTCACTTTAAGCTCAAATTCTGAGGACCCGTGAGGTCAGGAGACCCAAAGATGACTTAGCTTGCATCCCCGCAGGAGGGGACGACACACAGACGTGTAAATCCAGCCAGGGCGACAAGGGGTAGGCACACACCCCATGTATTCCAGATGGCAGCGTCCACGCTGGAAGTGGCAGTGGGAGCATGGGGGTCATGGGGCTTCTGGATGGAGGGGCCCGAAGGAACAAAGGCCGGATCTGTCCCAGGGGACCTGTTAGGAAACGGGAACCGTCAGGGGCACTGGGTGCAGATCGTGAGGCGGGACCAGACGTCAGTCTCCAGCTCCAGAGGCCCCTGGCGAGTCCGGCAGTGATTGCATTGTATCCCGCAGCCCAGTAGCTGCCAGATTACAGCTCAGCTCTTCCCACACCTGCTTTTGCACAGCCTGCGAGTGAAGATGGTGTTGCCACCAGCAGGCTCCCTGCTGCCTCAGTCTGTGGATCTCAGGGTCGGGAGTTCAAACCCCGTGTTGGGCGTGGAGCCTACTTACACAACAAAACCAAACACGAGAGCAGAGTAACATCTTGTGACATAGGAAAGCTACGGTCTAGGTGTCCCCATCAAGTCTGATGGTGACGCGGTGACACCGGTTTTCTGTGTGTGGCCCACGGCTGCTCTCGGGCCCCAACAGCGGAGGTGGATTTGCCCGGGCAGGGCCTGCCTCACGGCCGTGCAGACTACATAGTCTCACAGGGCTCTGCCCTTCTGGCACCGTCTTAAAATTATTTCTTTTTTTTTTGATGTTTATTTTTTGAGGGTGAGAGAGCGCAAGCTGGGGAGGGGCAGGGACAGAGGGGGAAACAGAGAATCCGAAGCAGGCTCAGCGCAGAGCCCGCCGCAGGGCTCGAGCTCCTGAGACCATGACCTGAGCCGAAATCAAGAGGGGGACCTTAACCAACTGAGCCACAGAGGCGCCCCGCTGTTTTAAAATTCTTAATAATCCATGAATGAGGGCCCCCTCCTTTTTATCTCGCACTGGGCCCTGAAAATCGTGTAGCCCATCCTGGTACCAGAGGCCAGACGGCCCACAAAGCCTGCAGTATTGGCCACCAGGCCCTCTTCCGGAAAAGTGTGATTTCTCCTGTCATGGACGGAACAGCAGCCTCCAAGGGTGTCCGTGTCCTGGGCTCCTGGCGCCTGTGTCTGTGGGACCTTACCTGGCAGAGGGGACTTTGGAGATGGTATTAAGGATCTAGAGGGGGGAGATGACCGTGGATGATCCGCATGGGACATGTCATCACAAGGCTCTTAAGAGCATCAGAGTCCCAGAAGACGATGCGATGACAGGGGCCGAGGACGGTGATCGCACGGCCGGCCCTGAAGGTGGGGGAGGCGCCGCGAGCCACAGAACACAGGCCGCCCCTAGAGGCTAGAGGAGGCCGCAGGGCTCCCGGCGCGTCCAGGAGGGCCGCAGCCCTGCCGCCACCCCCATTCTAGTCCGGTGAGACTGCCAGCAGAGCCCGGAGCTCCAGGACGGCGGGAGGATAAACGTGTGTTGTTTCGGGCCACCAAGATTGCAGTCATTCGTGACAGCCGCCGCAGGGAATTCGTGCACCTGTCGTGGGCAGTGAGCTTGTAAAAGGATTCTTGTAGCCAAAGAGAACTCAATCTGTCTGTCTATCTATCTATCCATCCATCCATCTATCTATTATCTATCTATGTTAATTTTGAGAGAGAGAAAGAGAGAGGGAGAGGGAGAATCCCAAGCAGGCTCCGTGCTGTCTGCGCAGAGCCTGACAGCCTTCATCCCACGACCCTGGGATCACAACCTGAGCCAAAATCAAGAGTTGGACGTTTAACCGACCAAGCTGTCCAGGCACCCCCAGAGAGGATTTTAGATGAGAGACCAATTTTGCTTGTTTGCTCTCTTGAAGGAAGCAGCTAGAGGCAAGGGTGGTGCACACACTTCCGAGCAGGGAGATGTCGCATTGGGAAGCTGTCCGGACACCCCGGGGTGGGGGCGGGTATGGAGGGAAGGACGGCACAGGTTTGAGGGGTGCGATCAGCGGGAGCCGGTGACCAGTCAGATGTGGAAGGGAAGCGGCCTGATTCATTAGATGTGGGGAGGGCTGTGACATCCAAACCATTCACTCCGAAGGTGGGTGGCGGCTGTCGTGGGGACGTCCCCTGGTCAGCTCCTGCAGCTGAGGCACCAAGGTACTCATTCTGAGAACAGAAGCCGGGCAGGCCTGGACAAGCCCAGAGAACCTTCTGGCACTCGTGCACTTCACAGTCCCAACTCCAGTCTGATTCCATCCTGAGCACCGAGCAGCTCCGTTGTGCTAAGAAACAGGAAGCTGTGTTTCTTCTCAGGCAGCAGCATTTATTTTCAGGTGAGCAGCGGTGTGGAGCTCACGTCCCTGGTCGTTTCAGAATCAGAAAACCAGGTCGCCCAGGGTGCCGGCTCCTTCTGGGCCTGGGTCCCCATGGTTCCCCGGCAGGCACCTTGCTGGCCCGGAGGTCCAGGCCCTGGAGCACGTGCAGGAATGCGGCCTTTGAGGAACCGCCTGCTCACGGTTCCTTGCGCCTTGCTCTGCTTCTCAGTGAAAGGCAGGGGGCGCCACCCGCTCAGGAACACACGGGGACTGGCCAGGCACCAGCCTAGAGCCCCACAGAGCAGCGAGGGCCCCACTTCCCATCTGAAAGCCATGGCTCCTCGACCGCCACCTCCTGAGATAGCGCAGGTCACTGACCTGGATGAGCTTGGCAAGTTTTCCAGAATGATCTTTCTGTAGCTGACCGGCCGTAAGCAGTTCTCTGCAAGAACAGCCCTGGGCGCCTTATCTCTCATCAGGTCAAAGGCTAGGAAAGGCCCTGCAGCTCTGGTCCCTGGGGTCACAGGGTGGCCTGGCTTCCCCTGTGGTCCTGGAGGACTCCTGAGCGTGATTACTTTCACTTCTAGGTGTACGCACTCGGTCACCCGCAGTTCTGTGGTCACACAGCCACTGTTGCTTTTATTTTTCATTTTTAAGATGTCTGATTTTTGCTTTCCGTGCAGAACAAGTTCTCTCTCTTGCTTTGCCTGTAAACGTGTCATGTGTATTTGTTGGGTTTTCTGCAGTGATTCTTGGGACGTTTCTTTTATATATATATATATATTTTTTTAATGTTTATTTATTTTAAAAAAACGTTTTCATGTTTATTTACTTTTGAGAGAAAGAGAGCATGAGCAGGAGGGGCAGAGAGAGAGAGGGAGACACAGAATCTGAAGCAGGCTCCAGGCTCTGAGCTGTCAGCACAGAGCCCAATGCAGGGCTCGAACTCATAAACCGCCAGATTGTGACCTGAGCCATTCAGATGCGTAACTGACGGAGTCACCCAGGCGCCCCCCCCACCCTTTTTTTTATTTTAAGTGAAAACTCTGGGGTTTCTAATATATTCACAACGTTGTGCAGGCATCACCACTATCTCATTCCAGAACATTTCTTCATCCCAGGAAGACACTCGTGCCCTTTGGCAGTCACTCCCTACCTCTGGCAACCCCTCACCTACTTTCTCCATGAATTCGCCCATTCTGATGGCTTCGTATAAATGCAGTCATGTCATACGTGGCCCGTGTGTCTGGCTTCTTTCACTGAGCGTCACGAATTCAGGGTTCATCTGCAGTGAGGTGTGAGTTGGTTCCTAATAGCCGAGTAATATTCCACTACATGGAAACGTCACTTTTTGTTTGTCCATCATGTGGTGGACATGGGGGGCTTTTCCCACTTTTTGGCTATTATAAATAATGCTGCTGTGAACATTCGCAGATAAGTTTTCTTTCTAATGTTTATTTTTGAGAGAGAGAGAGAGAGAGACAGAGGGCGACTGGGGGAGGGTCAGAGAGAGAGGGAGACACGGAATCTGAAGCAGCTCCAGGCTCCAAGCTGGCAACACAGAGCCCGACTTGGGGCTCGAACCCATGAACCATGAGATATGCGAATATATGGTTTTTTAAATGTATTTAGATCTTTTTTTTAATATTTACTTATTTTGAGAGAGAGGGAGGGGCCGAGAGAGAAGGAGAGAGGATCTCAAACAGGCTCCACGCTGTTGGCAGAGCCCGGTGCAGGGCTCGATCCCATGAACCCTGAGGTCATGACCTGAGCTGAAATTAAGTTGGACGCTTAACCGGCTGAGCCCTCCAGGCACCCTGTGAACATATATTTTCCATGCTCTCGGGTATGTACCTGGAGTGGAATGGCTGGGTCGTGTGGTAACGCGATGTTTACCTTTCTAAGAAACCACCAGACTGTTTTCCCCAATCTGTCTTTATAAATGATGGGGCGCCTGGGTGGCTCAGTCGGTTGAGCATCCAAATTCGGTTCGGGTCATGATCTCACGGTTCGTGGGTTCGAGCCCTGCATCGGGCTCTGTGCTGACAGCTAGCTCAGAGCCTGGAGCCTGCTTCAGATTCTGTGTCTCCCTGTCTGCCCCTCCCCTGCTCACGCTCTCTCTCTCTCTCTCTCTCTCTCTCTCCTAGAAATAAATAAAAATATTAAAAAAAAATTTTTTTTTTAAATAAATGAAATGGAGGCCTCATGCTTGTCAGTCGCCGGCGGGGAGCCAGTCTGCTGTGACATTTCTCCAGCCTCGTTCTTCACCCAGTGACCCGCAGGGAGCAGCCCAGGGACTCGCATGTTCGCCGTAGCCTGCATGCACCATTCTGTTTCCTCCCCCGCCTCCCCCCCCCCCCGCGACAGCCACACTCCCTGGATCATAAAATCTCCAAACCCCCCAACTCCCCAGACAGAACACCCAAAGCACACCCAGCGGGCTCTCTCGGGGCACTGCATACACACCCAGCTCTGTGTCAGAGCGAGTTGTGGGACAGGAATGAGCCAGCTGTTATCAGTCTGTATTAAAAGCTCACACAAATTGATAAGAACCAAAGGAGCAAAGATCAAAACCAGTTCGAGGGAGGGGAGAGTCAACAAACCTCAGAGCGGTTCCACAACCAAGTTGTCAAGAAGGGGGAAGGGGCCCAAGGAGGAGGGCTAGTCCCGGTGAAGATCATTCCAGCACTGCCAGAACTGCCTGCAACCCCCCCTCTCCACCCCGCCCCCCCAGCTGGCTTTCCTCAGGCAGCAGCCATGTTAAATTGGGAAGACGCCCATCTCCCTGCTGGGCATAGAAGAGGGTTCGTGTTCTGCCCCTGTGGTCGTACCAGTGACAGGTATCCTGAGTCACCCATGGAGGGCTGTCTGCAAGAGGACATACTTTTTTTTCTTATAGATTAAAAAATATATATTTATTTTTGAGAGGGGGGAGGGGCAGTGAGAGAGATAGAGGGAGACAGAGAACCCATGCCGCACTGAGCCCGACCTGGGGCGCGAACTCAGGAACTGCAAGATCATGACCTGAGCCGAGGTCAAGAGTTGGATGTCTAACCAACCGAGCCACCCTGGCGCCCCCGGGAGGACATTCCTTGTGGTCTTCGGTGAGTCACCTTCGGCTTGGCAGCTATCTGAATGCCCAGAGATGAGGCTGGCTTGGAGAACTGCGGGCCCACTTGGAAAGGCGGGTAGGAGGCCTGCAACCATCCAGAGTAAGGGGCTCCTGGCCTCCGGGCCGGCCGCCGTGTGGATGCAGTTCAGTCCTCGCTAAGCCTCTGAGCTGGGTCCTGTCAGCCCCATTTTACAGAAGGATCAAGTGGGCCCAAGATCACACGTTGCCAGAGATTGGCAGAGAGGGGCCACCAGCTGGGACCATGGTGCTAAACAGCTTGTTGTTTAAGAGAACAGGGTGGGGCACAGAACCGCCCGGATACTGCACAGGGCCCTCCACCTGGGGTTGGAAAAATGAGGGGGAGCGTGGAGAAAGGGGAGGGCGCGGGCCAGCACTGAGGGAGGCCCCATCCCCAAGGGGATGGATGTAGGAAAGACCCAGTAGGATACAGATGGGAGGTGGTGGGGTCTAGGAGAGGGGAGGGGCCGGAGGAGAACGTTCGCAGGGACCACTCTGGAGAAGGAGAGCTCAGCTGGGTGGGGAGTCATGGGTTCGTGGTGGCTTCTCTGGGGTGCTCTTTCCACTCGCCTGTTTGACTGGGACCCAGTGGCTTATGATGGTTGAGTTTGGAGGGAAGGAGTCCTCCTCAGTATGCAGTTAAAGCCTTGGGTCCACATGGGAGAGTGGAGAAGCCAAGGCCATGGAGAAAGGGTCTGTCGTGTTCCTTCCCCGAGTGCCTAGGCACCTGACACGCTACTGTCTCACCCAGGCCCGCCCTGGGCGTATTCGTTCGCTCTGGGCAGGGTGACAGGGCAGCCCCAGCCCGGGTGAGCAACAAATGCATTTCCTCACATTGAAAGCATAGAGTAAATGCTTTCGGTCATACTTGTGCAGATTTTATTTTTGAGTCCTCTCTACACCATCATGGGGCTCAAACCCACAACCCCAAGATCTAGAGTCTCATGCTCCACCAACTGAGCCAGCCAGGCAGCCCTAAATAAACATTTGCTACTATTCTATGTGTATGAAGTTACATTTTAAACAAAATCTTTTTATTATTTAAAAAAGTTATTCCTCACGGTGCATTCCGGAGGCCAGAAGCCCAAGATCAAGGTGTTGGCTGGGCTGGATCTTTCTGAAACTTCCCTCCTTGGCTTGCAGATGGCCACTTCTCCCCGTGTCCTCACATGGCCTTCGGTGCGCATCTGTGTCCTAATTTCCCCTTTTATAAGGACACCAGGCATACTGGATCCCAGCCCACCCTGATGGCCTCATTTTAACTTGATCACCTCTTTTAGAGGCCCTCTCTCCAAACTGTCACATCCCGAGGCCCTGCGGGGTGGGGCTGTGACACACGAATTCTGGAGGTGGGGTCACATTTCAGTCCACAACACTAGGGGAGCATGTGACTTGCCGCAGCCCACCGGGTTCCCGCAGGGGTGGGCAGAGGAGCTCAGGCGGCCCCTCGTCACCCGTGGGCCCTACCCAGCCTTCCACGCCTCAGGAGACAGGATTCTCGGTTTTGAACACCACCTTCTCTGTGGATGGGGCTGACCTGGGGCCCGGGTGGGGGACGGGGAGCCGTACCTCAGGGGCTCGGGCCCAGAGAGCAGCCACATGAGCTACAGGCGGCACAGGAGCAGCAGGGGGGGGACTGGCATCTTCCCAGGGCAGTGCTCCTACCCCCCGGAGCAAGGGTCTTCCTGGGCGCACACCAAGGGGACCCCCCCCGCCCTGGACACTTGCTGTCCTTCACTGCTCCAGGGCCTGCTCTGCCCAGACCCCCGTCTCCCTCCTGTCCCCCGGCCAACACGCCCTGTCCCTTTCCCCAGAAAGGCAGCAAGTCTGCTCCCCCCGGTGCCGCGAAGAGAGCAGCCGTGGGACCCCTGGCACGGGATCTGGCTCAGGCACGCAGTCACCAGCATGAGCCCTGCTCTCTGTGGCTGCTGTGGCCCCTTGAGGGACTGGCTGAGTCTTGTCACCCCCCAGGGCCCAGCACCCAGCAGGCACTCAGGGTTTGCTGGCCGAATGGACAAGAAGCGGGCCCTTCCGAGACCCTGGCCTGCGCTGATCACGTAATGGAAGGGCCCGCCTCTAGCCCCCCTGCAAGCGAGCCAGACCCCCACCCCCAAGCTGGGGGCCCTTCCACGGCTGTTGAGCACAGAGGGCACCCCACCCCTGCCCTGGCCCAGTGACCACACATCTGACCCCAGGGGTGTCGCAGAGGGTGTTACAGGTCAGCAGCAGCAAGGGGCTGGAAGGGGACACCCCACCCCCAACTCCCCCCTTCTGTTGTCACGGGTCTGTTACCCGCCGCCCTGTGCTTCGTGAGTGAACTAGCTTAGGCCTCACCCAGTGACCAGTGGCCTTAGCACACCATCTGCCTCCCCTTCCCAGCGTGGGGACCCGGAGGCCAGAGCGGTCAGCCTGGGGAGGGGAGGGGCGGGGCGGGTGGAAAGTGCTGCTTCTATTCCATCCTCTTCTCCCTGGGCCTTCGCGTTCCCAGCTAGGAGTGTCCAACCCACCCAGATGCACCCAGGGCAGGCCAAGGGTCAGGAGAAACTGAAAACTGCTTTTCTCAAGAAAGGCGGGACTGGTGCGGAAAGGCCAAAGGTAAAGGTCACTGAGCAGAAATCTTCCAAGGGGGTGAGGGGAGCCCCTCGGGGCTTGGAGCCGGGGGCCAGGGGGCAGCAGCTAGTAGCTCCGCTGTAGGGCACTGGGCGTCCCTCCCCCTCCCGCTGTGACAACCACATCTCTCTCCAGGCATTGCCTGCCGAGTGTCCCCTGGGGGCAAAATCGCCCCAGGTGAGAATCCCTCGCTTTGCAGACCTGAGCCTGGAAAGGGGGCTCCCTTGCCTGGGTTCTTGGGCTGATGTTAAGGGCCTTCAGATCACAGCCGGGTGACCCACCATTTTCCAGAACTGGGTCCACTCATCCCTTCCCCCAAGAAGTGTTTCGTGGGCACTTGTCTAGACGTGTGACCCCCATGGGAGCTGTGGCAGGCAAAATAATGCCACCACCACCACCACCCCCCCGCAAGATATCCACACCCTGATCCCCAGAACCTAAGAGTATGTCACCATACATAGCAACAGGGGCTTTGCAGATGTGGTTAAGACTCCGGAGATGGAAGATGATGCTGGATTCTCCAGGTGGCCCTGTGTCATCACGAGGGTCCTGAGGACAGGGACACCGGAGGGTCAGAGGAGAGAGACGACAGAAGCCAGGCTGCAGAGGGAGAGACACCGGAAGGTGTTCCACGGCCTGCTTTGCAGAAGGAGGAAGGCCGCGAGCCAGGGAGCGCGGGCTGCTCTGGAAGGTGGGGGAGGGGAGGACAGATCGGCCGCAGAGCCCAGGACGATTTTGGTCCTGCCAATGCCTTGTTAGGACTTGTGCCCTCCAGCACTACAAGATAATGAATTCGTGTTGCTTTAAGCCACCGTGGCTGAGGTCACTTGTCGCGGCGGCAGGGAACCCACATAAGCGTGCACTCTGGGGCCGGACTCGAAGGGCCACTGGGCGGTCAGGCTGCCACCTGCCTCTCTTGGGCACAAGCCACCTTGTGCCCGAAGGCTGCTGTCTCTCCCACCAGATGCATAAGACTCGTGTGAAGGTTGGGGGTCAGGGCTTGGGTGGATCAGCTTTTCGCAAGCTGTGAACACTTTTGCAGGCAAAATGACCATTTTTTCTCCCACCCCCAACCCCCAAAAGTTACACATAAAAGAACCAAAAAGTCTTTGCTTCATGTCGCAGACTTTGAAAGGTTTCCCGTGTTCTTCAAGGTGTCCTGGGCCCAGTTCTTTTCTCCCCCACCCCCAGGAGGAGACATCTTTGACTTTGAAGGCCAACGTTAAAGGGCAGGTGAATTTTGCGTCCAGAAATTCAGAAATGGACGCATAGCCCACAAAGCACCAACAGCCCCTTCATCAGCAGCTAAAATACTAAAGGGGGGTGTTGTGTGGCCTCAGCCTGAGCCCAGAGAAATGGATTGGGTACAGAACCTTGAGAAAATGCTTTTGTCTCAGAGATAACGGAAAGGAGGGGAGAAGGACACAAAGCAGGTGTGTCTCTGCACCTAGCAGAGCCACCAGGGGCCTGTGGGCAGAAGTTCAGGAGATGATGGGGACAGTGAGGCAGGAAGGGTCAGCGATGCCAGGCTTCTTTGGGTCCAGGAAACCGGAGAGGCATCCCTGGTGTTTATCCACTGCCAAATGGGGCGGCGACAGAGAAAGGCGAGCGGGAGATGGGCCTTGAGAGCAGAGAGGTAAGGAGTGTGTCAGTTACAGTTTTTCTTTTCTATTATTTTATTATATTTCTATTTTCTATATTCTATAAGTGATGGGGGGAGTTACTGGGGGGGTTACTGGAGAGGAATTACTTGGGGGGAAGTTACTTGGGGGAATAATGGCTTTCAAAAACCTCCCATGCCCAGGGCGGGTAGCATGCTCAGAAAAGACTTTAGAAGCCCCCAGGCGATTCCCCCCCCCCCGCCCCCCGCAGGAATAAAGACCCCGGCAGAGCTGTGAACAACCTGGCTTGCTCTTGCAGGAGCCCCAACCCAGAGTCAGTCTGCAAAGACCGGGAAAGTACTTTGTCCCCTCTCTTCTTGTCTCTCCTTCCTCCCATTCTCCCCTCTACCTCTTTCTCACCTCTTCTGCCAAGCCCCTTCTCTTCCCTTCCTTGTCCTTCTTGTCTTCTTCCTTCAGGCATTTAAGAAAGTTCTGTCCAACAGTTAGCTGATTAGAAGCCAAAGGAAGAAGACCTTCAGATGCTTCAGAGACCACACACAACAAGAAATACAGTCTTTAAAGTCTTTTAGAAAAGTCATGGGCATCCCAGAGGCAGGCGAGAAAAAGAGAAAGACCATTCAAAGAAACAATGGCTGAAAACTTACCAACCTTAATAACGATCATCAATCTGTGTGAGCAGCTCAACAAATTCCAAGCAGGAAGAGATCCACACCAGGACACTATCATCGAATTGTTGAAAAATAAAGACAAAGAGAACCTTTAAAGCAGCAAGAGAGAAGTGACTCATTACGTACAAGGGCTCTCCAATGAGAGCAACAGCTGAGTTTTCATCAGATATTGTGGAGGCCAGAAAACAGCCAATGACATTTAAAGGGACAGAACCTTGAGACCAAAGAGTCTTTGCTTCACATCGCTTCTCAACGAGGAGCACCTGGGTGGCCTAGTTGGTTAAGGGTCCAACTCTTGACTTCGGCTCAGGTCATGATCTCATGGTTCATGAGTTCAAGCCCTGCATCAGGCTCTGTGCTGCCTGCTTGGAACTTTCTCCCTCTCTCTCTGCCTCTCTGTCTCTCTTTCCCTCTTTCTCAAAATAAATAAATGTTAAATGTTTTCCGTGCCTAGAAAATAAATGCTGAATGAATAAAAAAAAACATTGTCAACCAAGAATTCTGTCTCTAGTAAAACTATCCATCAAAAATGAAAGAGAAATTGAGATATTCCCAGATAAACAGAAGTTAAGAGACTTGGTGTACCAAATACCAAAAGGAGTCCTTCAGGCTGAAATGAACACTAGCTGGCAACTCAAAGCCACATGGAGAAGTAACACTGGAAAGATAACTACATAAGTAAATATAAAAGCCAGTATTATTGCATTTTTAGTTTGCGACTATTCCCCCCCCCCACCCGCTGCCATGTGATTTAAGAAACAAGGGCCTGAAGCAAGAGTTCTGATAATGGGAATGTGATACATCAAGACGTAATGGTGACAATAACACTATAAAGAGGAAGAGACAGCTGTACAGGGGCAGAGTTTTGTATCCTCTTGAAACCAAGTTGGTATTAATTCAAACTGGATTGTCACAAGTTGAAGATAGTAATTATCATCTTAGGGAAGTGGTAAGAAAATAGCTGAATATATACAGAAAAGGAAATAAAGGAGCCAAAATGGTACACTATAGAAAAATCAATGAAATGCAAAAGAAAGTAGTAATGATAAATTAAGGAACAAAATAAGAGAGGGAGACAGAATCCCAAGCAGACTCTCTGCTGCCAGAAAAGAGCCCGACATGGGGCTCCAACTACGAACCATGAGATCATGGCCTGAGCCGAAATCAAGAGTCAGATGCTTAACTGACTGATCCACCCGTTGCCCCTATTTTATTTCTTTTGAAGACAAGTCTTATATTGGGGTACCTACATGGCTCAGTTGGTTAAGCACCTGACTCTTGATTTTGGCTCAGGTCATGATCTCATGGTTTATCAGCTCAAGCCCCATGTCCAGCTCCATGCTGACAGTACGGAGCCTTCCTAGGATCCTCTCTCTCCCCCTCTCATTCTGCCCCTCCCCTGCTTGCACATGAGTTCTCTCTCAAATAAATAAATAAACTTAAAAAAACCCCAATAAAATAGCAGGAGTAAGTCCTTTCTTATCAGTAATTACCTTAAAGATAAGTAGATTAAACTCTCCAAAGAAAAGACAGACACAAGAGATAAGAGATCTGGCCAGCTATATACTTTCTATAAGAGCGCCAGACACAGGGGCGCCTGGAGGGCTCAGTTGGTTAAGCACCCGACTTCGGCTCAGGTCATGATCTCGCGGTTCGTGGGTTCGGGCTCCGCGTCAGGCTCTGTGCTGACAGTTCAGAGCCTGGACCCTGTTTCAGATTCTGTGTCTCCCTCTCTTTCTGACCCTCGCCTGCTCATGCTCTCTCTCAGAAAGAAACAAAACAAAACATTAAGAGCATCAGACACAAAGATCCAAGACACAAATAGGTAGAAATGAAAGAGTGGGGAAATGAAATTCCATGTAAACAGTAATTAAAAGAGGGCTGGGGTATTTATAGTACTATCAGACAAAATAGACTTTGTGCCAAAAATTGGTTTTAGAAACAAAGAAGAACCTTACCTGCTGATAAAAGGGTCAGTTTACCAAGAAGACACCATAATTATAAACATATACATACCAAGACACCTGGCTGGTTCAGTGGGTGGAACATGTGACCCTTGATCTCAGGGTTGTGGGTTTGAGCCCCATGTTGGGTGAAGAGAGTACTTAAATACATTTAAAAAAAAAAGTCAGGGGCACCTAGGTGGCTCAGGCAGTTAAGCGTCTGACTCTTGATTTCAACTCAGGTCATGATCTCACTGTTTGTGAGATCGAGTCCCGCATTGGGCTCTGCACTGATAGCATGGAGCCTGCTTGGGATTCTCTCCTTCTCATTGCCTCTCTCTCAAAATAAATTAAAAAAATTTAAAAAATTAAAAATAAAGTTAAAAAAAAGAGAAACATATGTACCAAATTACAGAGCCCCAGAAAACATGAATCAAACATGAGCAGCATGAAGGGAGAAATAGATCCTTTTACGATAACAGCTGGTGACTTCAGTACTTTCAATAATGGTTGTAACCAGGCCTAACAGTTGTGTTCGGAACATGCCGGCAAACAACAGCAAAACACACATTCTTCTCAAATGCATGCATTACACTCTCCCATATAGACCTTATGTCAGGCACAAAACAAGTTTCAATGAATCTAAAAAAATTGAAATCAGGGGCACCTGGGTGGCTCAGTTGGCTAAGCATCCCGACTTTGGCTCAGGTCAAGATCTCGCCATTCATGAGTTCGAACCCCATGTCAAGCTCTGCGGTGACAGCTCAGAGCCTGGAGCCTGCTTCAGATTCTGTGTCTCCCTCTCTCTCTGTGTCTCCCTCCCCTGCTCACGCTCTCTCTCTCTCTCACAAATAAATAAAAACATTAAAACAATTTTTTTAAAGGTTGAAATCATGCAAACTATCTTCTCTGAACACAATGGAATGGAGGTAGAAATCAGTGACAAAAGGAAAACTGGAAAGTTCTCAGCTATGTGGAATTTAAACAATACTTTTTTTAAAAAATTTCCTTTTAGCATACAGTGTTCTCTTATCTTCAGGTATACAGTACAGTGATCCAACAATTCTGTACATTATTCAGTGCTCATCAGGATAAATACATTCTTAATCCCCTTCACCTATTTCACCACGCCCACCTCCCCTCTGGTAACCACCAGTTTATTCTCTGTAGTTAAGAGTATGTTTCTTGGTTTGTCTCTTTCTTTCTTTGTTCACTATTTTGTTACTTTAAAAAATTTTTTTAAAATATTTTTTTTATGAAGGAGAGAAAAGACTGTGAGCAGGGGACGAACAGACACACACACACACACACACACACACACACACACACACACACAGAATTTGAAACAGGCCCCTGGCTCCGAGCTGCCAGCACAGAGCCTGACGTGGGTCTCAAACTCACGAACCACGAGACCATGACCTGAGCTGAAGTCAAACACTTAACCGACTGAGCCACCCAAGTGCCCCTACATGTCTTCTTTATCCATTCATTCATCAGTGGACACTTGGGGTCACTCCATAATTTGGCTATTGTGAGTATGCTGTAATACACACTGAACTGGCGTTTTCTTATTCTTTGGGTAAATGCCCGGCAGTGGAATTACTGAATCATATGGTAGTTCTACTTTTAATTTTTTGAGGATCCTCATACCATTTTCCACAGCGGCTGCACCCATTTGCAACCTCACCAATGGTGCACAAGGGTTCCCTTTCTCCACATCCTCACCAATGCCTGCTGTTTCTTGTGTTTTTGACTTTAGCAATCCTGACAGGTATGAGGTGATATGTCATCGTAGTTTAGATTTGCATTTCCCTCACGATCAGTGACATTGAGCACCTTTTCATGTATCTGTTGGTCATCTGGATACCTTAAACGACACACTCTTAAACACCAGTGAGTCAAAGAAGAAATCACAAGGGAAATGGAAACATACTTTCGGATGAATGAAAATGAAAACACAACAAAACAGTGCTGGGTTGGTGTGGGGACGCCTGGGGGGCTCAGTTGGTTAAGCATCTGACTTCAGCTCAGGTCATGATCTCGTAATATGTGAGTTTGACCCCTGCATCAGGCTCTGCGCAGACAGATCGGAACCTGGAGCCTGCTTCGGATTCTGTATCTCCTTCTCACTCTGCCCCTTCCCCGCTGATGCTCTATGTCTCAAAAATAAATAAATGTAAAACATTTTTAACAAAACAGCACCCAAGGAAGTGTATAGTTATAAGTGCCTACATTAAGAAAGAGGACAGATCTTAAATCAATAACTTCACTTTATACACAAAGGAGGGGCGCCTGGGTGGCTCAGTCGGTTAGGCGTCTGACTCTTGGTTTCAGCTCAGGTCGTGACCTCACGGTTTGTGAGTTTGAGCCTCGCATCGGGCTCTGCGCCGGCAGGACGGAGCCTGCTTGGGATCCTCTCCTCTCTGTCCTTCCCCTCCTCCTGCCCTCTCGAAATAAATAGACATTTTAAAAAATAAAATAAAATCAGAAGTGAAAGTGAGGACAAAATTTTGGATCTCACAGAACTAAAAGCTTATAAGACAATAGTATGAACAATCATATGTCCACAAATTAGAGAGCCTAATGCAGTGAACAGTCAGAGGAACAAGCAAACACCAAATCTGACTCAAGAAGAAATAGAAAATTCGACTGGTTCTATGTGCTACCCTAGGGACTTGACTCTTCTGTCAATGTGTGGCTTTTCAAACTCTTTTCAGAGGCCCAAGGGTTCCCACCCATCTGGGGTGAACAGGGATGGGACGGGGGGACTTCCTGGAAGCCCCCCGGTCCCTGGTTGAACCACACAGCTCTATTTCTTTTCACCTGTTTTCTCTTGGTGAATGAGGGGCTCTGCACAGCATTTCTTCAAGAGTTCACCGTGTGGATTTGACCCAGCAAACCCTGTGAGGAAGAATCCGGTGAGGTGGAGGCATCAGGCCCTGGGCTGAGTGAGGGGCAGTGCCAGCCTGGGTCTGCCGGGAGGAGAGGGGCTGCCCCCCCTCCCCCACCATCATGGTGGCCCTTGGCTCCCGTTTGATGGGCTATCCAGTGTCCCCTGCAATTCCATATGAATTTTGGGGTCTGTTCTTCCATTTGTGCAAGAAGGGTCATTGATATTCTGATAGGGATCGCACTGAATCGGTAGAGCACCTTGGGGGACACTGCCACCTTAACGGTGTTACGTCTTCAGTGAACAGGGAGGTGTCTTTCCAATTACCTAGGTTTTCTTTAATTTCTCTAAGCATATTTTGCAGTTCTCAGCCATAAGTGTTGGACTTCCTTAGTTTAACTTATTCTTAAGTATTTTTTCGTTTTGATGCTATTTTAAATGGAATCTTTCAATTCCCTTGT